TTTTAATTTGATAATGGTTAAAAAATATTTAGAAAAATAAAATTAATTTGTTGAATTTCGAGTGCCTAAAATGAAGGAAAAAGGAAGAGCAAAAAAGAATACAGGAAAATCACATCAACTGTTCTGACCTGAGAACAGGAATTTTGTATTTTTTCATAACCAATCGATTAATTAAATACAAAACCTGGAGGTCCAGAAAGGAGTGCAGCTTTAAAAATAGAACCATCAGCTTGTGGACCAAAAGGTTTTTTAACAGCTACAAAAATTTTATTTAAATGAACCAAAATTAAAAAAAAACCTTTCTTTTTCTCTCCCTGAATTAAATGAAATTTAGCCCAATTTTTAAGCCATTCAAGCAATTTATTAGTTGGGGACTTGTCTGTTTGTTGCCCAATTAATTGTTTAATTGTTTTTGGTTTGTATTTATCTACCCATAAAGAAGTTGAAGTTTTTTTCTTTTTTTCTTCTTCTTCAATTAAAAATATTTTTGGCCTTTTAATTTGTTGTGAAGGAATTATTTGTTGATTTTGTTGTAAACGTTTACGAGGACTTTGCTGCTTTTTGGTAGTTGTTGTTGAATGAGAAGGCATAACTTTTTTTTTTGATTTTTGTTGTTATTTTTTAATAGGAAAAAGACAAAATATTTTTTTAGTAAATCTTTTTTAGTTGTCTAAAAAATAGAAAAAAATTTGTTTAAATTAGGGTAGCAACCCGACCCTTCGGGGACGGGTGTGTCGAGGATTGGGGTTTGCCGGGGAAAGCATGTCGGGATTCGAGGTTGACTTTTGGGTCGGGGGTTCGGGTCGGGTTGCTACCCTAGATTAAATTTAAAAGTTTTATGTATCAACTTCATTGATAAAATCTAGAGTTGTTGGCGACCAGTTTTAGAACCGGAATTTTTTTAAATTTTTTGCCAAAAATTAACAGTTTTTTGGAAAATTTTAAAATCGAAAACCGGAAATTTGTGCAAATGAGTGATTTTATTAAAAATTCCCCCAAATAAAACCGGTATTTGCCCAAAACTCAGACCAAAAACCGGATTCCTAAAATTTAGATTAACCGAAAACCGGAGGTACCTGTTAATAAACGTCGCTAAAAATCCTAATAAAATTTTAAAAAATAAAGAGAATGCTTTGAAATCTATTTTTTAAGACTCTAATGTTCTTAAAGCTTTCTTTTTCTAAACATAGTTAGAGAAAATAAAAGAGTGCATATGACAGAGAAAAAAAGAAAATTATTGTTTAAAATAAAAATGTATGTGAGGATGTAAAAGAAATGTGAGAGAGTATGTTAATTTTGGTTTTGAAATAGCTTTGTTTAGAAACTGACATTTTCCTCTTTTAAATAATTAATACATGCTAGGTCCTTGTCCACTCTGAAACTTACCTGGCTGGGGCGCTCATGCGATCACGAAGGCATGGCGTCTGTGGTGAGACTTCCCCATTGCACTTAAGGGCGAGGTTGACCCGCAGGGCGGCTCCGAACTGGGGTAGGCCCACAGCTAAATTTTTGAGTGTGGGGGACAGCGTTCGCGCTTCCCCCTTAAAATTGGACGTTTGTGGTTTTACTTAAACTTGAGTTTGGACAAACGATTAATTGCAATCACGTACATATTTGAGATAGTGTCTAATATACTGAACGATAACATACGAACATCAAATCTGAATTGGAATTTGGAATAACGTAAATCTGCAGACAAAAGAGGAAACATTCTGGCTTCGTGGCATGTTAAACTCTTAAAATTTCGCTTAATTTCGTTTTTTTAATACCATTTTTAATTTTTAAATCCAATTTTTAATTATAATTTTTGTAAACAAATTTATGAGATAAACTATAAAATCCTAACATACGTACAAATAAACAATTTTCATAAACACAAAAATATATCCGCCCAAGATATGTACGCCAATTTAGTAAATCATAAAAGACATTGACCTAAAAAATTATAAGTTTGTTTTGAGATTATTATTTATTCCTTTACATATTCCATTATTTATTACTCCTAAATATTTAATATAATTTTTAGTTCTTAAAATAAAATAAAATTTAAAAATATTTAATGTTAATTATTTCATTTTTTATATTATTTGTTTTCAACAGTGTAAAATCAGACAAAACTGAGGAATTAATTTATAAGGAAATCGGAAGCAACGGTAAATTTGTTGTAAGTGTAGAGTTGGGCGGTATCGGGATTTTGGAATGACCCATCCCAAAACCGCCCAACCCTATTTTAAAGCTTGAAATCAGGGACACGATCAGAAGAAAATTTCGAGGATTTAATTCGGAACCCAACCCGGACTCTTTGTTTACATAGCCCATTCCTGCTGTGAATTCCTTGGACTTTTTAGGAATTTGGTGACCCAAAAAGTCTTACGATATCCGGGAATCTCAAATTTAAATTTTGTATTTTTAAAATTTTTTAAGAAAATTCTACAAAAATTTCAGTTAACGAGACAGAAAATAATTATTTGTCATATAATCTCAAAAATAATACTAACTTAGAATCAATAGAAATTCAATCACTAAATTACAACAAAACTTACCAACAAATTTTATCAAAAATTTCAAATCGTTGTATTTCAAAAGACGAATTTAAAGAATTACACGGAAATAGAACAAAGCCTGGACTTGTAACCATACTTCTTCCATTTCTTGTAGACGACGCTACTTATAAAATTGGACTAAACGAACTTCGAAAAGGCTTCCATTTAAAACCACAAAACAAAAATAATGGGGAAGTTGAAGAAGAATTTGAAGAAGACTACAACAAAAGAGAAGATTTTGTGGACAAAGCAATGTTAATTTGTTTTAGAACTTTTGCAAGAATTGGATCGGTAGTATCTTTTGGGAAATTATTTTTCTGGCCAGAAGATACTGAACGTGCTGAAAAATTTCTTGTCAAAAAATTTCCAGAAATTGAAGAATTATTTAAATTAAGATTTGAAGAAAAAGGGATAAAAACAAGGCCTTTTAATGTTAAAACAATGGAAGTTATATTTAATGATTTTATTGAATTTAGAGGGGAATTTGTTAATAAAGCAATTGATACTTCAATTTTGCAGTCTTTAACTTCAAAAAATGAGACGTCAAAATGCCCTGAAAATAAAAATTTTAATTTTCTTGATTTTAATAATAATTTTGTTGAAAATTAAATTTTAATTTAATAAATATTTTCTTGGTTGTTTCCATTTTTTTGTTTCTTTTTGGTCGTTTTAGAACAAAAAATTTTGATTTTTGTAACATTGTCTTGGTTCGAGACTTAAGGAAACTCTGGCAGTATCTTTACTTTGTCCTGGGGGTAAACTAACAAATAAAAGCTTAAAATCCGGATATTTCTCTATGCAGGGCAGCAAATGCCAACTCTCCTACAAGGATTAGGAAAAACCTAATTAAAAAAGATTCTTGTGGAATTAGTATATCCAAAGCTTTTCTCTCATTTTCTCCAATGAAAGAAAAATAGTGTTAATGTTAGAAATATAAGAAAAATAAATATAGAAATAAAATTGTAGTGAAAGATGAGAGAAAATTCGAGTGAGTACACATTTTTCCTTTCCAAAACAGCTTTCCTCACAAACTGACATTTTCCTCCTTTAAATATTTAATAGATTCTAGGTATTTGTCCTCTCTGAAACTTACCTGGCTGGGGCGCTCATGCGATCACGAAGGCATGGCGTCTGTGGTGAGACTTCCCCATTGCACTTAAGGGCGAGGTTGACCCGCAGGGCGGCTCCGAACTGGGGTAGGCCCACAGCTAAATTTTTGAGTGTGGGGGACAGCGTTCGCGCTTCCCCCTTAAAATCAGAATTTTTAAGTGAAGGTTTTGTGAAGGAAAAACAAAGAGCAGTGGTCTTAATTAAAAAGATTATCACATTATTATAAATAATTACATTTAAAGTAATTATTTTGTGTTTAAAACAATTGCTTATCAGTAAATACATTTTAAATATAATTTGGGCAAAGGTAATAAATTTACTTTTGTCACTCCGCATTCCTTTTATTTTAATTTAAAAATCAGCACATTTTTTAAAGAATATTAATTAATTTAATTTTTTTTTTACCGATTTATGTTTTATTGTGAATTCCTATTAAATAAAAAACCATTCATATTTGTCCTCTAAAAATTCAGAAAAAATTTTTTTCTTGAAAAATGGCAATTTCCCAAATTTTTCCAATAGATGAATTAAATCCAGAAAATATTCAAAATATAATTAAAAATCAAAATAATGATCAAAATAAATTAAATAATGTAAAAACACCGTTTTTAGCTCATTTATTTTCTCTACGTGTTGCAATGCTTATTCTTACATTAATTTGTTTGACGGTAATTAATTAATTAATTTCAGTCCCTAACCTACACAAATTCTCTGGGTACAGCCCAAGTAGGCGCGCGGCAAGGTAGGCGCAAAGCCATAACTTACTTCAATATCCCCGAATCCTACCAAATTTAGTATTAAACGCTTCCTCTCATTGAGCTAAAGAGATTGGTAACAAAATTGTTAAAAGCCAGAAAGTTTCCAGCTAGTTATGGCTTTGCGACTACCTGGCCGCGCCCAAAGGTAGGTGCAAAGCCGCGCCCAAATTCTCTATATTTGATGAAATACTGCATTGGATTTGTTATATTTTTTGGAAAGAAATATTTTTTGAGTTAGCTCTGAATCATAAATTAACTGGAAAGAAAATTTGGGATTAAATGACAAAGAAAACCTTGTTAAATAAATACTCCTCCCATCTATTTTACAAATTATTATAAAATCATTAGGTTTTTTAATTTGAGAATTGTTTTACAACATTAAGTAAAACAATTATGGACGGATATCTCCCTAGATGCATGATACATTAAAAAATTTTGTTTGGCCACTGTTAGCTACCCCTAAGCGTAGTTCCCCAAAATAAGATGACATTTAGATAAAAGGAAGGGTAAAACTTAACTATTATTTTTTTTTAATTAAAAAAAGGTATTAACATCAAATTCTTTATTATTAAACTTCACCGTAATTTGCATGAAAAAAGATGCTAATTTTACATCAAATGAACGAGGTGTTTTAATTGCCGGCACAGCAATGGGGGGAATTGCGGCTTTTGGGACTCTTCCCCCCATAATTGATATTTTTGGTATTCGACTAGTTTTGTCTGTATGTGGAATTGTTTCTGGAATTGTTACAACAGCTTTACCCGAATTATTTTTTTATGGAGGGTTTTGGGCAATTTTAATTATAAGAATTATACAAGGATTTTGTTTGATGCCTTCAATGCCTACAATAAGTAAAGTTACACATAGTTGGGCTAGAGATAGTGAACAAGCTATTTTTGTGACTATTTTATCGTTATTTATGCAGGTATTTTTTATAAACATGTTTTTAAAAGAAGTGTTTTTGTTAGAACCCGGACGGTACCGTACTACTGACGGTATTTCTCGGGTTTTCATACCGCATATGGTACGGTACAGAATTCTGAGCTCTAGTTTTTGTATCAAAAATTATCACAAAAACTATGTTAGGGTTAGCTCAGATCGAGTGTCTCCACGTTTCATCTTGGAAATTTCACCGTTTCCAAGGTTCAGCTTGTTCAGATGTTATCGTTCTGCATGGAAAGAGAAAAAGGCCTCAAAAGAGGAAGGGTATTTGGGAATTTTCAGATAAACTTGAGTTCCAAAAAATTTATTCGAAAAATATTTAACGTAATTTTAAACAATTTTCTTCAAAATAAAGCTAAGCGTTATCATAACAATGCCAATAACTGGAAGATTATGTAATACATCACTTGGGTGGCCCGCTGCATATTACCTTTTTGGCATTTTATGTTTAATTGTTTTTATTTTATTTTTTATTATCTATCGTGATTGGCCACATCAATCCTCCTTAATTTCACAAAAAGAAGCTAGAATAATTTCTACTAATCAACAAAAAAAGAAATTAAAAGATGAAAAAGTGCCCTATATTAAAATGTTAACAGACAGGGCTGTTTGGGCCTGTATTTGTATTGCTATAAGTTGTGGATTGTCACATTGGTTATTTGCACAATATGGACCGTTATATATGCATGAGGCAAGGGATTTTAATTTTTTGAAGCATATTTTATCCGCGGTAACAATTATGGTCTAGAGACTACGGTCTAAAGAGTAAGGTTGACGGATCCGAATATACGGATCCAAAAATGGTAGGATATCCGGAAATTTTCAGTTCGGATACCGGATATCCTAAGATTTCCAACTATCAGCCAACCTTGCTAGAGAGGGTAAAATCCTTGTTACAGCTATGATTAGTTGGCCTTTGAAAGGTCTCAGGCAGTTTTCCATACTTCATCCAACTTTAATTTACGATACTCCTTGAGTACCGGTACTTCTCGTTATATACAAAGAGCCACTTGATATATTTCCAAAATTTTCTACAAATGGGCCATAAAGGGTTTAAGATGCTTTGCTCATTTAGCCATACTTTTCAATCTCTCTAACTTTTAGGTATTAAATTATAATGTAAATTCAACAGGCATTTGGATTGCCGCTCCCTATTTTGCTTCAATTTTCTCAAAAGTATTAGTCCCTTTAATTGAATATTTTCCAAAAATTTCCCTCAAATTTAAAATTGTTTGGATTACATTTATTTGTCAATTAATTAACGTTTTGTGTTATTTTGTTTTGGGAATATGGACATCAAGTAGCCATTTAATTGCCCAAATAGCTATAATTGTTGTATTAAGTGCTAATGGGGCTGGTTTTGTTGGGCTAGCTGGTAATAGTCATGCGGTTGGTTTTAGAAAAATTAATCTATAGGGAGTAGATTTTGATAAATATGGGGAGATAAAGATTGATATTGACAACAGTGAAAGTTCCCGGGACGTTTTCCCTACTTTAGCCAACTTTAACCACCCAAGCGGGGGGTGAAGGAAAAATTTTGAGAATTAATTTAAAAATATTTAAAATTTTTTAAACATTTTTAGATAGCTAGACAACATGCACACTTTATTTTATCAATAGTTTCCTTAGTAAATTATGTTATTACATTAATACAACCAATAATAATTGCTTGGATAGCTTCAAGTAAAGACCAAGAGGAGTTGGCGAATGATGTAAATTAAATAAATAAATAAACTGGAACCAAGTCGTGGACTTACCACTTATTTGTACTTTTTAGAAAAAAGGGGAATTTCTTACTCCTAACTAAAGACCGGACCGAGACAAGAGAAATCTCATACAATTCTCGTACGATGAATTTTTTTATTTTTTCGAAATTTTTCGAGATATCGATCATGATTTATGTAAGGCTCTCCTGGTCCAGTATCGGTCTCTACTCTTAACCTTCTGAAATTTCCAAAATTTTTACTTGCGGCGATAAAAATTAATGAATTCTGGCTTCTTAACCTTTTGAAAATTATAAACTTTTAAACATATAACTTTTAAGTGTTTTAGAGGCTAAGAAGCCATATTTCTTTAATACGGTATAAAAATTTAGGTCCAAAAACACACAAAATTTTGGTGTTTTTTGGCCGATGTTTGGCGTTTAGATTTGTCACGTTTTTAAAATTTGAAAAACCTCCCACTAAACATTACTGGCAAAAAAATTGAAAATATTTTTATAAAAATATTTTTATTTTAAGTGGTCTAAAGTATTCTTTGCTTATGGTGCCATAAGTTTGGTTTTGAATTTGCTTTTCTTTTTTGGAGCGGGAATGAAGCCTAGGCCGTGGACTGAACACAATTCAACTGAAAATAAAAAAGAAAATAATAAAAATGTTGTTTATAAATATTGATAAATTATAAAAAATAATAAAGTATTTCCTTAATTAAATATTTTATTACCTTATGGCTGAGTAATTTTATTTAATCATTTAGGCAACTCCCATAAAAAGCAGAATTTAAAAAGGAGTATCTAATATTGGATATAGTATCTTAGAAGTAGGTCTGATTGTTTGTATAGGGAATAGACAGGAGTGAGACAAGATCTGAAACAAAAATCTCGATAATCGAGATGGAGTTTTGGGATATCTAGAAGGATTCTTATACTACTCTCCAGCCAGGTCTCTAATACTGAACATGTATATACCGTATTTACTCGAATAATTCCCCTCCCTTGAATAATTCCCCATGCTACGGATGAATTGAAACAATAATCCCCCTCCCCCAAATACCCTACTACACGTTCAAATGCCAAAACTCGAATAATTCCTCATGCCATGTATGAAAACCAAAATATTAAAATTTTATAAGGTTTTCCTTCCTATATATTTTCTAGGGTAATTTCTCTAAAGCCCCTTATTTTAACTCTCAAATTTATTTCCACAGTAAAATATTTATTTCCAAATTTCGAATGTTCAAAAGCGACTGAAAAATAATCAAAATTTGACGGTTTAAAAAGAGTGAAATTTGCGTGGGAAAAAACGTATTAATCATAAAAATATATTTTTATTTATTTTATTCTCCGCCCAAAAATTCCTTTCAATTCTTTCCAAACATTTTCTTTCTGTTGGAAACACTCCCGGCCACCAATTAGTGTCGTCTCGGAGCGTCCAATGCCAAAAGAATGAATTGTGCCATTTGAAGTAGAAATGCTGAAATGGCAGGGATGTTTGTCCACTGCTGGCTCATTCTTGTTAATTGTGTTGCAACGCTTCGCATTGCTGTTTGGGTGTCCTGGTTGTGTGTGTTGCTGGGGGGATTTGTTGTCCGCTGCATTAACGTGTTGCTGCTGCAGGGTTGTTTTACTGGACAATATTTGGCGAAGTGATCCGAAGCGTGGCAAATGAAACAACCCTGATTTGAATTTTGTCTGGGTTGCCTTCGCGCACGAATCGGACCACCAACATGTTGTCGTTGCTGTTGTTGGGTAATAGCTGCATTTTGTTGTGTTGTTGTTGTTGTTTGAGGCACAAATTGGATTGGCCTAGTTGTAGTTGTTGAGGTTGTTGGTAAGTGTTGGTTACGTGTTGCCCAATTATCCATTAATTGATCGAAGATTGAATACATTTGTGATGTGTTGGTTGCATTCTCCTGTGCCTCCCCTTGAGGCACAGAAGAATTGTGTGTGCCCAAAAACGCATCACACAACTCCTCAAATGCTTCTGGGTCCTCCGTATCCAAATTGGAGTCCCCTAAGGGTGTTGTTGGGGTGTTGCTGTTTGGTGCTGCCATAGCGGGAGTCCATGTCCCAACTACCAAACATAAGAAAAAAATTCCCAACAACGGACCACGAAACAATTTAGCCTTAACCTTCACTTCTACAGTGGATACCTCAGATCCGCTGCTTGAACAATGAAGATCCGAGTTGGCTTCCATAGTAACAACTAATTTTTCCTGAATAAAATCCATTTTTATATTTTTTAAACTTCCATTACTAACCTCAACTTCCATAGTTGCTCGTGCAGATGTTTGACTACCATAATTATTCTGAATATTATTATTATTATTTTCAATGTTTATATTTAATCTATCCATATCTGGGACCTCTTCCTCAATATATTCTTCTATTTCTAATCCTTCCAAAGGATAAAACTCAAGTACACCTCTTAAAGGATTTTCTAACTCTATCCCTGGTCCCATATCAATTGTTTTAGAAACTTCCTCATCATAAAAGAAATTTTGAGTATTCATCCTATTTCTTTTAACTAATTCACTCCACCATTGTGGAGGGATTTGTTCCGGATATACAGCCAAATTTTTATTATCGTCAACCAATATCCATTCGGCTAATCCAGTTATAACCCCCCTTGGGCAAGAAAATTCGTTAGTAGAACAATAAATATTTCCATTATTATTTTCTACCTTTCTTGCTTCATTAGCAACTGTAGACCGATCCAATCGGCTGAAATATAGTCTTCCATAGACATCTTCTAAATCACAATTTAAAATATTAGCGGCGAATTGAGTAAAGGGAATTGGGGCCATGAATATTTTTAAATTTAAAGGATTTTTTGAAAGTGAATAAAATTTAAAAATTTTAAAGCTTTTTATACAAAAATAATGCCCCCTTGACATCTCAACAAAATTTTCAAAACTTGGAGGTGTCACTCCAAAACCTCCCGCCCCCAAATTTGTTATCAACAATAAACAGCTGGTAATGATTAATCTATACATTTTTAACATTGGGTTGACTTTTAAAAAAATTTTTAATATGAAATAAATGATAATGATGACTAAAATTCCAATTGAAATTATTTTTATATTCATCATTTCCCAAAATAATCCTTGTATGTCCAAAAGTTTAAAATTCGTCCATGAATTGTCAAAAATACCTCCCCACGCACTTTCCATTGTGTATAAACTTGGGGTTCCATTTTTAACTATAATTTTAGCCTTTTCTGGGAGAATATATTCGAGAGTTCCCTGTATTGTAAAGTTTGTTTTGCCTCCAGGGCAAAAAATTTCACAATACTCTCTTACTTCTGTTCTATCAAAAGATAGAACTGAAACTTGTTCAGTTCCATTTACTGAGCATTTACTTGTAAAAATGTTACCATTTTTACATTTAATCTCCGCTAGAGGACTTCCATAGTCCGAAAAACATTTATATTTAAAAATTGCTCCAAAGCAATTATAACAACCCGATAATATAATAGGTTCAATTTTACAAATAGAAATATCTATATTTGAAGCTATAGAATAATTCTCAAATCTAACCATAATTTCTATAGGTAAATAACTTGTTTCTGAATATATATTTCTTCCATTATTCCTTAATTTAATCCTTTTTGTATCTAAAGGCAAAGATTTTTGTTTGTCTTTAAATATTTCCTCAATTATTAAATCAATACAAGCACATTTTATTTGTTCCTCTTCTTTATCTAACCAACATTCTTTACAAGAATTTATATCTAATTCACATTTTGAAAAATTTTTGGCATCAGAACACTCTAAATCTGATTTAAAATTATCTACCATTGCTACTCCATTGTTACCAATTATAAATTGACTGCTCAAAATTGGGGCCATAGGTGGAGTAATATCTAATAAAGATATTCTAATTTTATCCCATTTTATTGTCGCTCCAGGACTTAATGAAAAACTATATTTTGATATATTTCCCTTAAATCTCATTGACATTTCTATATCAATTACGTAATCCCAAGTAGGGCACGAAACCAATTCATATACTTCATCAGAAATTGGTTCGGCATATACTTTATAGAAATAGCAGGCCGCTCCAGGTAATCCACATTGATATCCCCATAATGCGTGGCCTTCGACACAATATGAATTTCCTGGTTTTTTAATCCATTCATCTAACTCTTCAACATTTTCTTTCGATCTAATATGTTGGCATCTTCCAGCTTTACAGGTCCCTTGAGCTGGACACCTTTTAACAGATCCAACTTTAAGCTCATATGATCTCAATTGTCTTTGAGATTTTTGGTTACATTTTATTGAAAGACCATTCATAATAAATTCCATTTCACCCATTATCATTCCTTTATCATTTTTTAAAGTTAAGGAAATTACCTGCCCATCAGGTAATAAAGTTAAGGTATTAGTAGTGGTAATTTTACAAGTTGTTAAATTTTTGTATCTATAACAATCTTCCGATCTCGCCTGAATTGAAATAACCTCAATATCGGCTTTTACAATTTTCATAAAAATAATAAAAATAATTATATTTAATAATCCAAGTCGGTTTAATCTTCTATTCCTTTTTATTCTATTTATTTTCTTTAATTTATGGGACCGATCAATAAGTATTTCAAGGTCCTTATTTTCAATTTTTCCATCTTTTTTAGAAGAAATTTTAGCCATTGTTTTAATTAATCTCCAAATAATTAAAATTATTTTGCCTAATATTGAAAAAATTCTACAAGCGCAAACCATTCCGCTTATTAATAGGCAAAGCATAAATGCTAAGAAAATACCAACTATGGTTATAGTTTTTGTTGATTCACATTGTGGATTTAATATCCTTTCCCAAATTTCTGTAATTCTTAAACAAGGATCTACTGCCGGACAAAAAATACTTCCTCGAAATATTCGTCGACCATTTATATATTTTGCTCGACATCTATAATCTAGTGCCGTTACATCCTTTGGCAGTCCTAATTCTAAATGTTCCAATCCATTTGTTTCGATTATACAAGTACCCATACAACAAACTTCTACTTTGTCAATTTCAGATCCGACACTTATTAATAATCCGAAATTTTTACATTTCATTCTGCAACCCCTGCAGCTTACTAAATAAGTGGGATTTGAAGATACAAAGTTCATTAATAAAAATAAATTTATAATTGTCAAGATTAATGTCGCCTTTTTTGCTCTGGTGACCATGGGATGTATATTGTTTTTATTTTTTAATTTATTTTCTCCATTTTTTATTCCTTTTGAATTATTATTTATTGAATTTTGTTCTTTGTCCTTATTTTTTATTTTATTTTTATTTGCATCATTATTTTGGCCATTCTCCAGTTTATTTTCACTTTTTTCTTCTCCATTTTTAATTACGTCATTTTTTGTTTCCATCGGAAAAAGCTTATTGACAGGCCTTACTAAACATCTTTTTCCTATTTGCACTTTAGCGCTCTTTGGCGGGCTTCCATCTAGCTCAATAATTTTTCCCAAACTCCAAGTATTCCTTGGCTGGCCTTCTTGTTGCACAATCACCACTTCCCCAACCTTTGGTTCTCTTTTTAGTGAAGTCCGATCGTTATTATGGGTCCATTTCGATTTATCCCTTAAAATCAATAAATATTCGCGAGTCCATCTCGTCCAAAATTTTTCAAAGGCCTTTTGAGTGGCTTTTAATCGTACTCTTAATTGATCTCCCATACTCAGTTTTCCTATTTTAAATTCTTCTTCTACATCTGACTCATTTATATTTTCATTAATTTCAATATTTGGCAAGAGAAAGTCAACAGGTCTAAGACAAGATGGTCCATCCATCTCTCCAGAAACAAAAGAAATAGGCCTACAATTAATAGAAAATTCAACCTCTTTTATGAAGGTTCTTAACTCTTCTAAATTTAATATAACACCTCCTAGTGTTCTTTTAAAGGAGTCTTTAACCAATTTAACTAAACGCTCATAAACTCCTCCCGCCCATGGGGAAAGCGATGGAATAAAACACCATTCAATTCCTTTATTTATTAAAAAATTATTTAATCTTTTTTCCTCATTTGTTTGTTTTTCGACCCATTTTCCTACGAGCTTAGCGCCGATTAATTCAGAAACCACTTTGAACTGATTGGCGTTATCCGATAGTATCTTTTTGGGACATCCTCGACTGGCGATGAAACGTCTTAGACAGTGTAAAAATTCTAGTGCCGAGAGCTCCAATGCTATTTCGAGATGGACTGCCCTAGTCGTAAAACACGTAAAAAGAACAATCCAAAATTTAGACTTTCCATTCTCAATTTTAAAGAGAGAAGGTCCTAAATAGTCAACGCCAATTGCCTCAAAGGCTCTTGATTTAATTAGCCTTTCCTTAGGCAATCCTGGCATTGTTGGGAGTGCGAATTTCGGTCCATTTATTTTTTGGCACTTTTTACAATTCCTTACTACTTTCTTGGCCTCTCTTCTGGCGCACGGTGACCAATATTTAATTAAGAAATTTCCTAAAACGGCGTCCACGCCTGAATGTAAAAGCTCAATGTGTAATTTATCCATGATTAATTTTACAGCAGGGTGACCCTTTGGCAATATTATAGGGTTTTTAAATCCATCAGACATTTCGCTTTTGCCTATTCTAGAATTCAACCGAAAAAGTCCATCTTTATCAGTAATAATTATTGTATTCCTATTTATTAAATTTTTGTCAATTCCCTTTTGTATTAATTTTAGTAAAAATATTTCCACTCTTTTAATATCAGCACCTGTATGTCTTTTGTTTTCGCTTATTGATTTAATAAATTCGCTCTTAATTTTCATTTTACATTTACTCAACCATATTCGAGCGAAGAGAGAAACAATTAAAATAATTTTTAAAATTTTATTCCAGCTATTCCATTTATTAAAATTAATGAATTTATTACATTCTTTAATATTTATTTGATTAATTTCAAAATTTTCTTCAAAATTATTTTCTTTTTCATTATTTTCAACAACAAAATTTAACTCGTCAGGCCATAAATTTTCAGAATTTTTCAAAAATTCAGGTCCTGACCACCATAATGAATTAATGCTTAGTTCAACAGGTGTACATCCGCGTGTTGCAATGTCCGCAGGATTACACTCTGTTGGAATATAGCCAAAATTCAAATCACCATGACTTCTAATTTCTTTAATTCTATTTTCAACAAATTTTTCTCCTTTATAATTTTCTTTAATCCAATATAAAACAGGTTTAGAATCACACCAAAGATATTTTTGAGAAATTTTTAAACCAATTTGTTTTGAAACAAAATTTACCGCTCTAGTAGCAATTAGTACCCCTAACAATTCCATTCGTGGTATACTAACGCTCATCTTTTTAGGTTTGAGTCTATTTCGGGCATACAAAATATTAAGCATAATTTTTTGACTGGTGATACATCTCATATAAACACAAGAAGCGTACGCATCTTTGGATGCATCACAAAACACATGTAATTGATATTCACCGCTTTTATCTATTATTTTTCTTTCAATTTCAATAGGCGAAACTTTCCATGTTTCGATGATTTCACACCATTTGTTGGCTTCTTCTTCGATTAAAATGCTATCCCATTCTCGCTGTTTTTCCCATAAAGACTGGAAAAACAATTTCGCGGATAATAAACTCGGGGAAGCAAATCCTAGCGGGTCAAATACGCTAGCTAATTGTTTCAGTACCAACCTTTTATTTATCTTTTTATTATTCTCAACAACAGGAAAAGTTACTGAAAGTTTGTCAGTTTCAATATTCCATGGAATTCCTAGAATTTTTGATTTGCTTTTTTCTAAGCGATCTTCCATAGGCAATTCTTCATTAAATTCTAAACAATTAGAAATGAACTCTCGAAGGTTCATTTGGGCTGTTTTAAATATATTTTTCAATTTAAAATATGCTTCTGAAGCTTCCTCTTTTGTATCAACACCTATCAATATATTATCCACATATGAATTATTTTTAAGCCTTTGTGCTATTGGGTCATCCATTGACTCTAAATGATGCCTTACCGTGGCAGATAAAAGGAAAGGACTTGATATTACCCCGAACGGGACCTTTGAAAATCGTAAATATTTTATATTATCTGAAGTGATTGGCTTTCTTACGTCCTTTAACCATATTAATTTTAATACTTCTCGATCTTCTGGATCAAGCTCTAAACAATGAAACGCTTTTTCAATATCTGCCCAAATGGCAATTTTTGGAAGCCTAAATCTAATTAACATTCCAGCTAATTCTGGCATTATTATCGGACCGCGATATAACAATTCATTTAGGCTTTTTCCTCCTCTTATTTTAGCCGACGCGTCATACACTATTCTCACTTTTTTAGTGGTGATGACAGGATGGTGAGGGAGGAAATGCTCTATTGATCCTTTGTTTCGATCAGCATTTTCCAAAACTCCTCTTTTTATGTCATTTTCAATTATTTTCTCATATTCAAGCATTAAATCTGGGTTCTTTTTAAGTCTTTCCATTAAACCCACAAAACGCCTATAGGCTAAAGAAAAATTGGAAGGTAAATTTTCTCTTTCTTCTTTCCATGGCCATTTTACAATATATCGACCATTCGGAGAACGCTTTATAGTCTTTTTAAAGAAATCCATTGCAACCTGATCATCTTTGGTTGTCGGGTCATCCTTAACTCCTATGGTTTCCAAACTCCAAAAATTATTTAATTTTTCATCAGAGTCTATATTTAATATTGGTACAATTTTATTATTTTTCTTTTTTGATAAAATTCCATTTAATTCACTTTCAAGCTCTCCACAAATAATTGTACCAACCGAAGTGTCAACCTTAAACAAATTATCTGATAAGGGTACCAAATTGCGGAAAAATTTCCAAAAGTGCTTTATACCAATTAAAACGTCTGGTACTTTTTCTGACGTTCGAATTCTACCATTTTCTAAATTAGCACATTTAATATTCGGCATTATTTCTTTTTTAATTTTATATGCTATAATTTCTTCTCTACTTCCATCTTCGAGAATAATTTCAAATAAAACCTTTGCCGATTTAATCCTTATAGGCTCTTTATGAGAAAACGGAAGTATCCCCAATTCCTTTTCTCCTATCTTTTTTAAATTCAATTCTTTCACTTTCTCTTCGGTAATAAAATTAATAGTGGCTCCTGTATCAAATAAGCCAACCGAATTACACTTTTTATTAATTACTGAATTAGATAAAACCATATTACTTTGCATTAATGCAACTTCCTTCGGTTTTTCTACTATAGTAAGTAGATTTTCCGAAGTCTCTACTTGATTTACTTGCTCAACTTTTTTAAATTCTTTTCCATTTATTACCTTTTTATATAAATTTGGACAGATCAATTTATTATGACGTCCTCTACAAATATTGCACTCAATTCTAGTGACACAGTTCGTCACTGTATGGCCCTTCCTTAAGCAAAGCAAACATCGATTTTGCTCTGTAAGCATTTTTGTCCTAATATATATCGCTTTCACTTTTTCGCATTTTTCTGCGTGGTGAGCTCCATGACAAAAATAGCAAGAAATTTCAAACTTTCTATTGTTTCTTGCTTTATAATCACCTGATTGTACAGTAAACACCCGATCAAAATTTTCTCTTTTAAAATTAGCTCGCTTCTGATTAAAACTTCTATTATTATTCCAATTGTTCCCAACCCTCTGTTGGTTATAATTAATATTTTTAGAAAATGTTTGAACGCACCTTTGCGCTTCTTCTCTGAGAGCTACTATCTCTTCTAACCCTTTTCTTAATTCATCAACATTCCAAGTCGCTCTTGCTTCTTTTTCCTTTTTTAATAATTCTAAAACAATATTTTTTGGCAACTTATTTTTGATTGCCATCATAACTATAGACTCATCTTCAACTCTTCCCATTGCCGTGAGGGATCTGCAAATCCTTTCGACTTCCTCAAGGTAAGAACGAAGTGAATAAACCGATTCATTTGCCATAGGAAGGCTAATTAATTCCGCATGGAGTGTATCCCTTATTGCTTTCTCATTCCCGAACTGTCTTTTTAATGCATCCTTGAGCGGTTCATAATGTTCGGCAATCGGCCGATAACCTAAAACCGCTCTTTTGGCCTTACCTCTGAGGCACTGAATTAAATAATGTGCTTTTAGCCCTGGGTCCATCTCCAGGCTATCTACAGTTCTACTAAAAGATTGCCAAAATTCTGGCCAAATTAGGGGGTCTCCATAAAATTCTGCCAACCTTGTCCTAGGCAAATGTGCAGGAATATTATACTCATTCCTGCGAAATAAATTCTCATTAAACTGAGTCTGCCCTTCATTTATTGGAGCTTCTGGCCTCCTTGACTGGTTGGCTCTATTTTGTCCAACTCCCAATTCTACAGAAAGATCGGACTGAGTACTGCCGTCTTCTGACTCTGTCAACAAAATCTCAATATCCGCAATCATTTCATGAGCATTTTCTATCCATTCCGCATAATGGTGCTCTGATGGCGCAAAACGAGCTAAAACCTGTTCTTCCGCTTCTCTCTCATTAGCCGGAAGTCCACGAATATAATCCTGCCATTGGTTGGCCTTTTCTTCGAGACGATTAACTATACGTCGCAATTTAACTAATCTAGTCCTTAACATTTCCATACCTTCAACTGTGCGCTCTTGGGCATCTAAAACGGGGCGAATTTCCTCAAAATGTTCACGCAAACGCGTTATAGCCGGGGTCATAGCTTGACGAATAGTTCCCGACATTTTTATTCTTCTAATAATAAATTTAAACCTCAAAAAGGTATATCAGACTGTTCTTCAAACAATCAAAAAAAAAATTTTATTTTTTAAAAAAATTTCAACTTCAAACAAATTTAATTATTGTTTTCCTTAAACAATATAATATAAACCAATTATGGTCGTGGCACCATATGAAAACCAAAATATTAAAATTTTATAAGGTTTTCCTTCCTATATATTTTCTAGGGTAATTTCTCTAAAGCCCCTTATTTTAACTCTCAAATTTATTTCCACAGTAAAATATTTATTTCCAAATTTCGAATGTTCAAAAGCGACTGAAAAATAATCAAAATTTGACGGTTTAAAAAGAGTGAAATTTGCGTGGGAAAAAACGTATTAATCATAAAAATATATTTTTATTTATTTTATTCTCCGCCCAAAAATTCCTTTCAATTCTTTCCAAACATTTTCTTTCTGTTGGAAACACCATGGATAGGTCGAAAAAATAATTCCTCATGGGAATTCGAGTAAATACGGTAAATGAGTTTCCCATAACTGAAAGTTAAACATTTAATAAGATCTGGAGACCAGTTAATTAAATAGAGACAGCCAACAAAAACTTATTTAGAAGTTTTAATTAATTCAGGGCTCTCATTCGTACTTTATTTGAAAGTACAGTACTTTAAAATCGACCTCCGTACTTACAAAATTGAATTTGTACTTTTTTGAAAGTATGTACTTTAAAATCAACATTTTGGATTGAAAATGAAAATAGGGAAGGATTGGGCAAAAAAGTGGATTTTTTTGGCCTACGGCCTTAGAAATTCTCAAAATTTTCGCCTGCGGCGCTGAAAAAGGAAGAAATCTGGCTTAAGGAACTCCAAAATTCTCAAAATTTTCGCCTTCGGCGCTGAAAAAGGAAGAAATTTGGCTTCTTGGGTGCCAAATTTAAAAAATTTTCGTCTGCGGCGCTAAAAATGGAAAAAATCTGTCTTAAGAACCCCGAAATTTCCCAAAATTTTCGCCTGCGGCGTTGAAAATGGACGTAAGAAAGTAGCTTGCTTGAGGTTAAGACTGTCAGGGCTTTACTTCTTGAGACAGCGAATTTTGACATGGCGTGTATGAAATGCACAAAATGCTCAGTGGAAACAAGAGATTATTAGAAAAATTCATTTAGCAGAGAAATAGTATAAAAGATTTGAGGGCGAATAAATATTTTGTAATTTAATTTTGAGTGTCCTTTAAATTTGGAAATTTTGTCCCTATGTACTTTAAAATCGAGATTTTTGTACTCTTGATTGGTATTTTGTCGATGAGAGCCCTGAATTAATTAATTAATCAATTATTTTCAAATTAATTTTTTATTTAAAATCGCGCGCCTCGAATTTAAAATTGGATGCGAGGCAGACAATAAAGAATCACAAGAAAATATAAAAAATTTTAATTGATTAATTAGGTATTTCAAAATCGAATGCTTCCTTCCATTTGGCTATCACTTTAATAGAATTTAATTTTTATTTAAAAGCTTCTCTTAATATTTTATAATTAATTACTGTTTCCTAGAGAAATTTAATAAATTATTCCAAGGGAAAATATTAAACAAAAAGTGAAAGTTAGCAGCAGGTTATTAAATGGAACCCCCAGTTTTTGGTTTCGGTATTGACTTAATCGGTTTTTGAATCCTACATATGTTTTGTCCAAACAATTTGAAGAAATACCTATTCTATAAATCAGGCGACAAAATTTTTGAAATTTAGCGCAAACTTTTGAGAATTTTGAAGGTCAAGAATAATTGTTAGGGACTGTGGCTTTTGACCTCCGGTTTTCTACTTAGGGTAATTAGCCAAAAACCAGTTTTCGGTTCGGTTAATGCCAAAAACCCTATTCTATGTAAAGCATATAGCTATATAATTCCTAAGGCTATGCATAACACATCAGTCCGGTCTACTGAAGAGCCGCCGATTAAAAGGTTAAGCCGCCAAATACCCTTTGCACTAGCTAAAGGAGAGAAATAGCTATTGCCCCAGCTCTGCTTTACTTCTATATTCTTAATGAATTGAGAAAAGCGATTGTGAAACATAGCGCCAGCCTTGGCTATTCATATCCAATATATTATCAAAGGACATAGGAAAGGAAAGGCAGTCTTATTAGTCAGACAGACAATGCGAAATCCTATAAGTCTTAGCACTCACCGCCAAATCCAAGGGATTAGAAAAAATAAGCGGTATCTATGTCTTTAAAATTGGCTTCTACATTTCTTTAAGTACTCATACCGAATATGTTTTAACCTCCTTATGTTAACTATTTGTTGGAGAGATGTATTAGTCAATGTGTAAGGGGTGATATGAAATCCGTTTATCAGTTTTTCATCCTACAGGGTTTCTACAAAACTTCCTCCTTAGAAGTGTTTTTTCATTTATCCCGTTTATTTTATGTACATAGATACACTCTGTCCCAAAATTATGAGTTCACCCCTAAATTTCATCATAATATGGTTTGCAGATATGTTTATTTAGCCTATTCCGAAATATATAGTAAGTTCTCAGACAATTTGCAATATTAAGGCGAAAATCATGCCAAAATTTCTTAAAAACTACTATCACAGAAATTATGAGTTCACCTTATTAT